ATTTATTTATTTATTTTAAAATTTCTCATATCTAGACCAGTTTAATGCTTATTTTACCTTTGAGCCATAGTATAAGAAGATATAAACATGGAATGGGTAGTTTTTTTTCTTTGTTTCAAATTTCTCCCCATAAGGGTGGAATACCAGATAACTCTTGGGGGTGTACATTGCTTACTAAGATATCATTTTCCATTTCAGATTTACTGTCTTAAGATGAAAAAGGTCTAAGTTAAGCCTGACATCAAAGGAGACCACAGCATTTTAAGAGTAAATGTATTCCTAGAATTTGCAAGTAGCTATTAATGGCACTGGACTGCCTAAAACTTCTGTTTTTTAAGGGAAAGTAGTTCATTGGCATATGGTGGTGGGAAAACTGAGCCGTAGCCAAGCTGGAATCTGTGCCTTTCTGCTGTTCCAGGCCTTTCCATGTCACTCTGGTTCTTTTGTTTGTATCTGCAGTATCAGGGCAGGGGCTGGCAAATGAGGTACTGTGTGTTCCTTTAAGATACTACTGTCGCTCTGCTATGTCGTAGGAGCAGGACTCATGTTGACTCCTAGGAGCCCACCCATGCCATTGTCATGTAATTTTGACAAGAATTTTTGGATTTTTAATCTCAAAAATCATGATTACATCTAAAATAACATATGTTCCTCTGCCTAATTGCAGCTGTTTCTATGAAAAACGAATGGCCTTTTATATAACTTATTTTAGAATCCCACCTTTCAAAATTAAAGAATAAAATATGGGCAGGGAAGGTAGGGCAAATTGTGATCCATATCCTTGATTTAGAAGATGAGCCTTTTATTTTAATTAAGTGAATATAATATCTTTTGATTATACTCCATAGACATCAGCCATTTTGAAAAGTAAACCAAGATAATTCAAGATCTCAGAGTTCTCCGAATGGAAATAATAATACAAATATGTAATGCCACCAGGTACCTGAAAAAGAGACCCCTAGTGTGTTTTTGGGGTTTATAAGCAAAGCAATAATGAAAAATAAGGGGAAGAAGATAAAGTTGACTGCAAATCCCATCCCTAGAAAGAACCATTTTTCACATTCTAATGAGCATCTTCCTAGTACTGTTTGACAGCTGTATACAGATACAGACTAATAATTTTATAGACTAATACATTCACAACACATGCCATTTTGTACGTGCATTTTCTATTCAGCAATATGACTGGCATCTTTCCAGGGCAGTAAGTATGGATATGTGTCGTCATTTCAATGGTTGCATAATACTCCATTATGCATACCGTATCCACAGATTAATCAACCAATCCCCTACTTGCTGTTTTTAGTTCTTTGCCATTATATATAAACAAACACTGAGATACTATCCTTGTATCTTTTTCCACTTGTATGATTATTACCTTAGCATAGATTTCCTTGGAGACCTATCATTTTTAAAGCTTTCATAAGAAGAAGAAGAATCATAATGATGAGTGATTGCAGTCTCTTGGATTCCTCTCACGTGCCATGTATTGTACTAGGCGCTTCATGTGTAGCATCTCATTTAATCCTTAACGACACTCTGTGAGATGAGTTGTAGTATCTCCATTTTGTATATGAGGAAACTGAGACATAGTGGGTTTAAATCTGTGTCAGAGCCAGGATAGGGACTATGTGGTCTGACTCCAGCGCATGTGCCATTTGCCCTGCCAGGGATCTGTGTATGAATCTGCTTTCACAGTGCCTCTCTTTGAGGGAAGCCCGTAGGATCAGTTGGAAAACTGGCATGTGGAATAGTTAAGTGGACTATGTGACAGCTCCAAAGCAGAGAAAAAATGTGGTCATGTTTCCTCAATCCCAGCTGGTCACGCTCTCTGAGACCCCACTGCCCCTGCTGAAATGGTGTGTTTAGAACTTTGTGAGATGCCCTGCTCCTTTAACACGCAGCCTGGCTTTTTTTCTCTTCCCTGTTTTAGACCCCTAACAAGCACATCTCCCAGGCCGAGGTGATCATCCGGTTTGCCTTCCAGACGTCCATCACGGTGCTGTGTATAGCCTGCCCCTGCTCCCTGGGTTTGGCCACACCCACGGCGGTTATGGTGGGCACGGGGGTGGCCGCACAGAATGGCATCCTCATCAAGGGAGGCAAGCCTCTGGAGATGGCACACAAGGTTGGCCTGGCACTGCACCCTCCAGCTGGCTGGGGATTATTTTGTAGCTGTAAACTATGTTATTTATATTTATTTTTTTAAATCGGAGAGTTCTTATGAAAATAGTATCTGTTTACTATTTCATATTAAGAAAAAGGGAGCTCTGGTAGGGTAGTGCCTAAGGCACTTGACTGCTAACCAGAAGGCTGGCAGTTCAAACCCACCAGCCACTCCTCGGAACGAAGATGGGGCAATCTACTTCCATAGTGATACTGCCTCGGAAACCCAAGGAGGGGTCGCTATGAGTCGGGTGCAACTCGACAGCACATAACAACAACAACAACATTAAGAAAAAGGCCTGTGAGAGATCTGAAGGTAACAGTGTTAATTAACGAGAACAAGAAGGCAGAACTGACTGGGAATAACAACAGCTAACAGTTATAGAATTAAATGCTTTATGAATACTAATTGATTTAATCTCATTAATTACTTTTGAGGTAGATGCTTCTTATACCCATGTTACAGATGAGGAAGTACAACAGAAAGAGGTTAGGTGACTTGCCCAAAGGCCTGCAGCTAGTCAGTGACAGAGCCAGGACTCACACCCAGGCCATCAGCTCCAGGAGAAAGTGCCAGCTCGTACCCTGTGAGCAGTAATGGAGCCTGTGGCCTCAGGGAGGGCAAGAGCAAGCAGCAACGTGAATAAAGATGCTTCCTTTTGCCCAACATACTAATAATCTCTAACCTTCTGTTTTTCCAGTAATTCACTGACTTTTTATTGAACATTTACTATGTGTAGGTCCTGTGCTAGGCTTTGGTGATGGTCGTAGATCCCTGCTATCAAGGAGCTTTCAAAAGAGCTGCCGATCAGTAGGAAGGGCAGCTACCGAAGAAGTAACCAAAGGCTGAGTACTATGAAGGAGTGCAAAATGCTTTGAGGGCCCTTTAACAGGAACCTATCCTAGGCTTGCGTGTGTTGAACTGGGGGTCAGGGGGTGGGGCAGGTGGTCAGGGAAAGAAAAATACAGGCTTATGCTGAGACCTGACAGTTGAGTAAGGTTAGCCAGGCAGAAGACTTGCAGGATGTTCTGGCAGGGGACCAGCACTGGAAAGGACCTGGGGAGGCTGTGCTACAATATCATAAGCACTGTAAGAGAAGGGAATATGAGCTTTTTCCTCACCATTGCATCCTCAGCAGTTAGCCCTAGCATGTTAGAAGCATTCAGCAGTTATTTACTGAACAAATAAATGAGGCAATGAAAGGAAATCATTCAGCGTGAGAGAGAAGCTGAGGAGAGAGGATGCTGAGGAGGGAGGTGCCAGATAGTTAAGGGCCTTGAAGTTTTTCTCAAAGATTCTGAATTTAACCCTGAGAACAATGGGGAACCACTGAGAGCACGAAGTGCTGTGTGACATGACTGGGTGGCATTTTGGGAAGATCATTCTAGTTGCAGAGTGAAGAATGGACTGAAAGAGGGCAAGAATTACTAGAAGGCCAGTTATAATGTTGAAGAACCTATCAGTTAGTATCAGAATCAAAAAGCTAATTTATTGTTTCTAAATTGGAGGTTTGAGTCCACCCAGAAAACAAAACAAAAAAAACATACTCACTGCCATCGAGTTGGTTCTGACTCATAGCGACCCCTCCTTGCGTTTCTGAGGCGGTATCACTATGGAAGTAAATTGCCCAACCTTCCTTCTGAGGAGTGGCTGGTGGGTTTGAACTGCCAGCCTTCTGGTTAGCAGTCAAATGCCTTAGGCATCCAGAGGCCCCTCAAAAGAAAGGCCAGGCGATCTACTTTGGAAAATTGCCATTGGAAACCCTGTGGAACACAGTTCCACTCTGATACACACGGGTCACCAAGAGTCAGAATCAACTTGACAGCCACTGGTTTCTGCTTGTAGAACAGTTTCTGAACAAAGCAACCTGCAGGTCTTAAATAGGCTCTCAGGAAGCCAGGAGTCAGAGACTGATGGATGTCTTTATCTGACAGTTGAACAGCACAGAAGTGCTTAGAGCTCAGTTGGCCTGTGGCCAGGGAAATGCAGGTGCTAGAGCATGGCTGCTGGATTGACTGGTGCCCGGAAACATAGGGACTGGCGCAGAGCTGCCAGTGATCAACGGGAACGGGTTAAAAGCTGGTTCTGGCAGTTACTTTTATGGCCAAAGAGCAGTCTCTTCCTTTCTAGAACTGAAGTGTGAGGACTTTACTCTGTGTGGGCTTGTGCACTGATCCAGGCAAGAGAAAATAGTGGGTGAGCTGGCAGGCCACGGTGGACAGGAGAAGGTGGCCTCTGAGCGTCCCACGATCCTGAGCTGACTGCAGCCTAAGGTTTAAACAGCCTAAACCCTCTCCCTTGGTGGATGGCCAGACAGGTTATATACTAAAAGGAGGTAGGTAATTCATATCAAAGACCTCCAGTTAAAGGAGCATACAGATGCTAAACAGGAAAGATAGTATTTTTTGTGTATGAAACAGACTGCTGTCCAGGAGACAGAGACATGTCCTCTCCTGTGAGATCTGCGCAGTTAGGACAGTCAAGGGTGGGGAGTTTTGGCTGGGCAGCTAGAGAAACAATTCCACTGCAGTGGGAGAGTGAACACTGGGATTGGTTACAGAGGCAAATTAGAAGTATTTTTATCTACTTGAGGCAGGTTCACTGAATTTCTGCCTCAAGATGATGTGGACTCTGAAAGTCCCTACCATCTGTCTTTGTGGTTACTGGGATGTGGTTGTTTTTGGCAGATAAAGACTGTGATGTTTGACAAAACGGGCACCATTACGCACGGGGTCCCCAAAGTCATGCGGTTCCTCCTGCTTGTGGACATGGCTGCACTGCCTCTGAGGAAGGTTCTTGCTGTGGTGGGAACAGCAGAGGCCAGCAGTGAGCACCCCTTGGGCGTGGCAGTCACCAAGTACTGTAAAGAGGTATGTGGCCCACGGCACTGCTTTGTCCCCTCCCTGGCGTCATCTCCAGTCCACACTGCAGGTGGAAGCCTGCGAGCCCTTCTCCGTCCTCAGCACATGCCCTTTCTTCTAGCTGCCAACGACATCCGAGTCAGCGGCCTCGGAGGCGACTGTTGCTCGTGTGGTGTGGAAAACCACCGATAGGCACCTGTGCAGCCCACAGTAGGGCCCTTGTCATGTTACCTGATAACAGAAGAGCAGTCAATGCAACAACGGACATTTATCAAATCTTAATGAGCACCCATGCTTGGTGTTGTGCACTGGGCAACAAAAACGAGCAAGATGTGAACTCTGCCCTTGGCGGACTCACAGCATGTTAGTTAAGCCCATTGAGAGAGTGTAGTCAAATGGACACAAAAATAAAATGGTAGCATTGGGTGAGGGAGGGAGAAATCCACTCCACTGGGGACGGCAGAAGTGAGTCATATACCAACTGGAGTCTTGGCACAGACGTGTGGAGAAGCCCTGCACTCCTTCCATCTCTCCAGGTGAAAGGTCCTGTTGAGTGTTCTCTGTTTTGAATCTAATATACAGGGAGCAGGAGATACCAAACTACTGCCTTGAAAGTGTTTAAATTGAGCAAATGCTACCATCTATAAACAGAGAAAGGTAACAGAGATGCCTTGAGAAGAAGGGGCAGCTCTTCCTGGACAAGGGCTCTCTCATAAACCTCACTTGGTGTTTTGTCTTCTTTGGGGTTGGACAGATGGCCAGTTCATGTTCACCTTCTGCTATTTCTAGAAGAATCAGGTTCATCCTTGGTCATCCTTACATTTGCTATTTTGCTAACCCAAGTGAAAACAGCCCCTCCTCCTGCCAGGGTCTAACAAATGGGCAGTTATCTTTCCATAGCCTCAAAATAGCTTTGTTACCACTTCTATTCCATCACTTTTATGAAATTATTTGAAACATAAAAATACTATCTTTCCTGTTTAGCATCTGTATGCTCCTTTAACTAGAGGTCTTTGATATGATTTACCTACCTCCTTTTAGTATGTAACCTGTCTGGCCATCCACCAAGGGAGAGGGTTTAGGCTGTTTAATCTCATTCAATTTAATAAGTGTAATATCCGTATCAGATGAGAGAAAAATAACTGCTGAGTTAACAGACAATCTCTTAACCTTTCCTCTTGGTTCTACTTTTCTTCCCTCCATTTTCTCTTAATTTCTGGCTTGTACTTCTCTCTCACCTGCCCTTGTCCCCTTGTCTCTGACCTGCCTCCCTCTCTATTCTGTTTCTTCTCTCCCTTCCTTTATAGGAACTTGGAGCAGAAACCTTGGGGTACTGCACGGACTTCCAGTCAGTCCCAGGCTGTGGAATTGGCTGTAAGGTCAGCAGCATGGATGGCATCCTGGACCCAAGTGAGCAGACTGGGCACCTGAGTGGTGTTGGCAGCATGCCCACTGAGAAAGGTAATGCTGGCCTTTGTCTCTGCTGCTGGATCAGTTGGTGGTTGGGTCTGCCTGGGAGGGAAGGAGGCCACACCACAGAGAGCCATGTAGCACGACTCCCCCCCTGAGGAGCAAGTGGGCTCGGAGCTGGTGTGCCGCTCGCCTGCCTTACCCAGGAGTGCCACAGTTTCTCTGTGTTCTTTCATTTACACTTTGATGCTAAGGGGAGGCAGAAGTGGTATGCTGCTTAAAATCATTGAGTATTGCTTATATGAGCCATAACCTTGGTTCTTCTATTTCTTAGCCCAAACTTATCTTGCTTCTCATATGCTACAAAATTTGGCAAGTGGGAACTCTACATTTGTTCTTCCTGTTTCCCTCTCATGTGGGGACTCTGATGGGACATGTGATACGTTCAAAGCCAGCATGAGAGTGAGCAGGCAGAAACTATCCACCAGACCAAAAAGTGACACTGCTCAGAGTGTCAGCTGCTTTGGAATATAGCCTTTCTTATGCCAAAGATAGCTTACTGGCAATGGTGTGAAAGAGGAAAACCCCCCAGAACTCCATCTAGTGTTTTCTCTAAGTAGTAAGTCTTGATTTGGATCACTGCCTGGTACCTGGCAGCAGGGTAAAGCTCTGGAGTGACCTTCCATTAGCACTTCCAGGGACTGGTCCATGCAGCAGCACCTCAGTGAGCAACACACAGATGAGACAGGACACACTTGACTATTTTTAAAACATTTTATTTTAAATATTTCATGTAAGTAGTAGCTGCTCTTGTCAGTTGCTGTCAAGTCACTTTGAACGCATGGCGACCCCATGTGTGACAGAGTAGAACAGTACTCCAAAACGTTTTCAGTGGCTGATTTTTCAGAAGTAGATCAGGCTCATCTTCCAGGATGCCTCTGGGTGGACTCATACCACCAACCTTTATGTTAGCAGTTAAGTGCAAACCCAGGGATCTCATACAAGTAGACTGATGATTGACTAATTCACCTTGTGTCATCTATGCAAGCAGTAATTAAACTTGTCAACACTTGCTTTTGGTGATAGGCAAATAACTAACTGCTTCTAATCCCTGTAAGAAAACAATCAGCTGATGCTTCTCAAGGTGAATAAAGATACAACATTACTTTAACATGTTTGTAGCATTTTCAGGTATTTACTATATACCTCTTAATGCACCATTAACACCCACATGTTCTATACATTACTTGTACTTTTTTTTTTTTTTTTTAATTGTGATTTGGGTGAAAGTTTACAGAGCAAAAAATTAGTTCCATTAGTTTTCTCGCTGAGTGTCTGGGATTTTCAATATATAGGATCATATCATCTGCACATAGGGATAATTTTACTTCTTCCTTACCAATTTGGATGTCTTTTTGCTCCCTTTTTTGCCTTATTGCCCTGGCTAGGACTTCCAATAAAATGTCAAAAAGAAGTGGTCATAGAGGACATCCTTGTCTGGTTTATATTCACATACTCAGTCTCTCTCCATTTAGAGTAATGTTGGCTATTGGTCTATTCCGGTTTTGCTGAAAGTTTTTTTTTTTTTTTAATTAGGAATGAGTATTGGATTTCATCAAATGCATTTTCTGCATCAATTGATATGATCATGTGGTTCTTCTCTATTTTATTTATGTGATCGATTACATTGATTGTTTTTCTGATGTTGAACTATCCTTGCATACCTGGTATGAATCCCACTTGGTCAAAATGATTTTGTTTTTTGATATGTTGTCAGAGTCTGTTGGCTAGGATTTTGTTGAAGACTTCTGCATCTGTATTCATGAGGGATACTGGTCTGTAGTTTTTCCTTTTAGTGATGTCTTTGCCTGGTTTTGGTATCATGGTTATTACTGTTTCGTAAAATGAATTTGGGAGGATTCCATCTGTGTTCTAGAATAGTTTGAATAGGATTGGTGTCAGTTCTTCTCTGTTTCATATAGAATTCTCCAGTGGAGTCATCTGGGCTATGACTTTTTTGTTGTTGGTAATTGTGTGTGTGTGTGTGTGTGTATGTGACCTATTCAGTTTCTTCTTTTGTTATGAGTATGTTTAAATTTTCTACCACAGTCTGTGTTAATTTAGGTAGGTAGTGTGTTTCTGTCCATTTCTTCTAGGTTTTCAGATTTGTTGAGCTATGGTTCTTCAATCCAAACCAAAAACCAAACTCACTGCTGTCAAGTTGATTTGACTCATAGCAGTCCCTCCTTGGGTTTTCGAGGCGGTATCTTTATGGAAATAGATTGCCCGATCTTCCTTCCGAGGAGTGGCTGGTGGCTTTGAACCGCCAGCCTTCTGGTTAGCACTCAAATGCCTCAGGCACTAGTATCCAGATACTATCCTTTTTATTTCAGTTGGTTGTGTTGTGACATTGCCCATTCCTTTCCTATTCATGTTATTTGCATCATCTTCTTTTCCTTTTTTAAATTTGGCAGTGGCTTGTCAATTTTAATAATCTCTTCAAAGAACCAACTTGTAGTTATGTTGATTTCATTGTTATCTGTTTCATTTATTTCTGCTCAAATCTTTATTTTATTTTATTTTATATTTCTGTTGACTGTAGGCTATTTTTGCTGTTCTTTTTCTAATTGTTGGAAATGTTGGGTTAAGGTGTTGATTTTGGCTCTTCTTTTTTTGATGTGTGCATTTATTGCTATGCCCTCTGATTACTGCTTTTGCTGTGTCCCAAAGATTCTGGTATGTTGTGATTTCATTCTTGATTATTCAAGTAATTTTTAAATTTCATTTGTTATTTCTTCTGTTACCTAGTAGATTTTAAGGGAAGAGCATTATTCAGATTCCATGTGTTTGCTTTTTTCTCCTTGATCTTCCTATTGGTGATTTCTAATTTTATAGCATTATGAACTGAAAAGATACTTTGCAGTATTTTGATGTTTTTAATTTTATTGAGGCTTGCTCTGTGTCCTGATATATGGTCTATCCTGGAGAATGTTCCATGTGTGCTGGAAAAGAATGTATATTGTACTGTTGTTGAGGGAAGTGCTCTGTATATGTCTATAAAGTCAAGTTGTTTGTGTTGTTCAGTTCTTCTGTATTTTTGTTGAGTTTTCTTCAGTGAAGGATACTGCATTGAAAATGATGTATTAAAGCTCCCACCTTTGCTGTGGAGTCATCTGTCTCTCTTTTCAATTCTATTAAAGTCTGATTTATGTATTTTAGGGCTCTTTCATTGGGTGCATAGATATTTATTATGGTTGTATCTTCTTGTAAGTTTGATCCTTTAATTATTATATAATGTGCTTCCTTGTCTCTTGTGGTAGTTTTTGTCTTAAAGTCTATTTTATCAGAAGTTAATATTGCCACTCCTGCTTTTGTTTACTTGCCATTTGCTTGATATGATTTTCTTCCAACCTTTGAATTTTAGTCTATTTTTGTCTTTGTGTCTGAAGTGTGTGCCTCTTGTAGACAGCATGCTGATGGGTCATGTTTCCTAATCTATTCAGCATCTCCCTATCTCTTGATTGATGCATTTAGTATGAATTTATTGCTATCATTTTGTTATGTGTTTTTTGGTGATGTTGCTGATATTTTTGTTCTATATAATTTTCTGTGCTGATTTCATTTTGTTTATGGATTTTTTTTAAATCATTTCCTTCATTGGTATTGTTTTAGTATTTGCTAAAAATTTGTGCCTCTCTTCTTTTTTATTTTGATGAGAATGGTAATAATTTTCTTTGAGGTTGCCCTGTGATTTCTTTATTTTCTTCTCAAGATTAAAACTGTTGGTTCTGTCTCAAAATAATCTTGACATCCTTTCCATTGGGAAGTTCTGTACCTACACTATTTATTCTCTCTTTCTGGTTTGTAGTTGTCTTCACTCATTGCTTGATGTCTCTGGCTACCTGTTTACAATCTTACAAGTTTACTCTACTTTGGATACTTCTATATCTGGGTTGGTTTCTGAGTTATGTTGTCATGTGTGTTAATCATCAGTTGTTGTATACTATTGTTGGTTCTTTGTCCAAAGGACTCCCTTTAGCATGTCTTGTAAGGTTAGTCTGGTTTTCACAAATTCCCTTAATTTCTGTTTATCTGGAAGTCCCCTAATTTTGCCATCATATTTGAGGGTCAGTTTTGCTGGTTATATAAATCTTGGTGACAATTCTTTGTTTCAAGTTTTTGCAAAAGTTATCTCACTGCCTTCTCACCAGTGTGGTTCTGCCAAGAGATCAGAGCTTAGTCTTACTGGTTGCCCTTTGTAGGTTTTCTTTTTTTTCCCCTGTTCTGCTTCCTGAATTCTTTCTTTGTATTTGGTTTTAGGAAGTTTGATTATGATACATCTGGATAATTTTCTTTTAAGATCTATCCTGTTTAGGGTTCTTTGAACTTCGTGAATGCAGATCTTCTCATCTTCCGTTATATTAGGAAAGTATTCTTCCAATAAACCTTCAACAATTTTCTCTGTGGTTTTATTATTCTCTTCCTGTTCTGAAAGTCCAATCACATGTATGTTATTCCTTTTGATGGTGTCCCACATGAGTCTTATGCTTTCTTCATTTTTTAAAATCTTTTTTTTTTTTGCTTTTCCTTCAACAAAGTAGTATTGAGAGCTTTGTCTTCAGTCTTACTAATTCTGTATTCCATTGATTTGATTCTGTTCTTAAATCTTAGTATTAATCTTCTGGATTTCTGTTTGTTGTTTTTGTAAGGTTTCTAATTTTTCATTCATTTTTGTCAGTTTGTTTAGTATTGTTTTCTTGAATTGTTAGAGTTTTGTCTCTGTTTTTCCTTAATTTTGTTAGTGTTTTCCTTGGTTTTGTCAGTGTTTTCTTTGATCTGTCTCTCCATCCATTGAAGGTGCCTAAATATAAATTGTTTTGAGTTTCTTATCAGGTAATTCCAATGCCATTTCTTCCTCAGTGAGGTTTTCTAGCTCTATATTCTGGTCCCTTGTTTGTACTATTTTATCTTGCTTCTTTATGTGAACTGGGATTGCCAGTTCTCTGAGACATTGTGATATCATTGTATTTATATTTAATTGGTGATATAATGGTGAAGTGATTGGCCTAGGGTTTTTTTTTTTTTCTTTTTTCCTTATTTTGTTTTGAGCAAGGCTGGTGTGCTACTCTGTTTGCTACACTTAGACACTCACAACCTATCTCCTGATGTATGTGACAGAAGATGAGAATATGTGCACAAATCTCTGTTAGTTGTTCATGTAGAGCAGTTGAGGGTGGTTTGGGCTAATATTGGCTGCCATGTCATTAATCAACTGGTGCAGAAGCAGGTGACTCTCACCCAGTGGGTGGGGCTGCAGCAGGGGCAGATATGGTTGGGTCTTGTAGGCATGGTTTCTGTCTCCCCCAGGTGGGACAAAAAAAAAAAAAAACCAAATACCCCCCCCCAAATAAAAACAGGACAAATAAAAAAAATACAAACAGTAAACAAGCAATAACTACCACAAAAAGGAAAAACAATAAATGGTAAAAGAAGAGAATAACACAAAACAGGGACAAAGAAAAAGAAAAAATGTACCTGGGGAGGGAGGAAAGAGAAGAGAACATGAGGGAAAAAAATAGTAAAGAAAAAATAAGAGAAATACAAAAAGAAAAACAAGGGATGGGAAGAATGAAAAGAGAAAAAGAAAAGGAGGAAAGAAGGAAACTAGGGAAAAGGGAAAAAACAAGAACCATTGAATGGAAAGAGAAAAAAAAATAGAAGAAAAAACAGTTAAAAAAAAAAACAAACTGGGGGGCAGGGCACCTGAGCTGTGTTCTTGCTGGCCAAGCATGTGGCAGGAAGCAGGGCACCTGGTCTTGTTACTAATTCCTGCCTACCTAGAAGACAACTGGCAACAGGGCCCCTGATCCCAGGCAAGTTCCTGCTGGCCTAAGGAACAAGGCGCCTGGTTCCAGAAAGATTTTATGCTAGATCAAAAAGCAATTGGGAACAGGGCTTCTCATCTCTTAAAAAGTTCCTCCTATCCCAAAAGGCAGCTGGGCACAGTGCCCCTGCTTCCAGAAAAAGTTCCTATTGTCTCAAAAGGGGACTTATTGTAGGGTGCCTGGTCCCAGCAAAAGTTCCTGCTGGCCCAAAAGATGGTTAAGAGTATGGCACCTAATCCTGGGACCAGTTCCTACCTGCTCAGAAGGCAGCTGGTAGCAGGGCACCTGGTCCAGAATGGAATTCCTGCTGATCCAGAAGGGGGTGGGGGTGGGGGTGGCCATACCAGGAGGGTGTGGGGCACCAGGGGAACATCATACCTTTCTGGTCATCAGTCACCAGTGTGGTTGCCCAGCTCTCTCCTCTTTTCCTTCATCCCTAGATACTGGTTTTGGTTTTGGTTTGTTTTTCTCTTTGTTCTTCCTTGTGGAGTTTTTGGTTTTCCTTTTTTTCTTTATCAGGTTGCTGCCTGGGTCAGATTGCCACTTGCAAATACTCAAAATGGCTATGCCATCAGGCAAGCCAGTAGTCCACAGCTCCTTTTGTCTCCTTATTAGCTGTTTTCATTCAGTTTCTTCTAGTAGCTGGTGTTTTAATCTACTTCTTTATCCTTCCCTCTGAAGCTCAGGGTTCCAGGATTATCCTCTCTATCTGTTTCAATTTGTTCCTCATTTCCTTGGTAGCTTTTCTACCTATTCTGCCATCTTGCCAGAAGTTTCTGTACTTTTTTTTTCTGAGCCTTTAGGAATGGTGTTCTAGCAGGCACTTACTAGGCTGTAATTTTTTTTCAGAATTATAAACACATATTTTGCTGTTAAAAAGATCTCATAGTTTTTAGTTCTTCCTCATAATTAAATAGGACTATTTGGGAATAAGGAGCTCTGGTAGCATAGTGCCTAAGGCACTTGACTGCTCACCAGAAGGCTGGCGGTTCAAACCCACCAGCCACTCCTCGGAAGGAAGGTTGGGCAATCCTACTTCCATAGTGATACTGCCTTGGAAACCCAAGGAGGGGTCGCTATGAGTCGGGGCCGACTCGACGGCAAACAACAACAACATTTGGGAATAACCACACTCTCTTTTGAGCAGATGCAGCCCCTGAGACCTTCTCTGTACTGATTGGAAACCGTGAGTGGATGAGGCGCAATGGCTTAACCATAACCAGTGACGTCAGTGATGCGATGACGGACCACGAAATGAAGGGACAGACAGCTGTCTTGGTGGCTATCGATGGTACATGCCTCTCTGCTCAGGCCTGTCTCTGTTAATTTTAGTTGTCTCTTCCAGAAGGTTGTCTTACCATCTTTTCCCCTTTATTCTCAGTCTTGAAGCCCTTTCTTGCCATCTCTGTCTTTACTCCCAGAGCAGTTCTGCTCTGGTCTTGGTCTTACTCTTAGAATTATCACAGTCCCCTCCATTATCCTTGGCTTCTGCCCAGGTGGCAGTACAAAGTCATCCTTCTCATGCTTCGTTGCTTGGTCCATTCTGAGAGATAGGGCGCTTTAAGAGAATATCATGTACTAACACCCAGCAGGCAAACCAGGGACTCGCTCCCAAAGGTTTAACTGCAGGATGCCTTTAAAAATGAGATTCTTTGCAACATTGCAGAGAGGTTAGACTCTTTCCTTTGTTAATACTGTTTCTGCTAATAGAAGTAAAACTTTATGCTTAAATAGTAATTTGTGGGGCTGCATTTTGAATGCTTTAGCTAAGTAAGTTTTCTTCTCCCATTTCTGTCTCATGTTTGTTTTTTCCTGTTCCCATTGCTATGCCTTCTCCTAAATCCTTGTAAACTCACTGCCTTCTCAACTGGTCCACAGGAGTCTGCCTGTAAAGGACTCATGCCCTTTGATACCTCATTTATCCTCCCTTTGTTTCTGTTCCTTCATCAGTCCCTGAAAACTTGCCTGTTTTAGTATCAAAGATTCATTAAAAGAAAAAAAAAATCTACAAAAGTGTTTTCTATGAAAGAGACAGAAAGAAAGGATTGATTTTCTAGTTTGGATATTCCTGACTTTTTAAGTAACATTTGTTATATTTATCATATTTTAATAGCAAACATGTATTGAGTTGTTATGAGCCAGGCACTCTGCAAAGTAATAGATATTCCCTGAAGAAAATGTGTTCAGAGAATTATAAATAGAAAAATGAAACCACTCACAATTCTATTGTTAATATTTCGTTATTCCTTGTAGACTTTTGTATGCATCTATAAATGTATGTAATTAAAAAACTAAAAATAAAAAAAAAATACAATAAGGACTATAATACATAATTTGATGTTTTTATTTTTGTGTTTATTGTTACATTAAGAGAAATTTTCCAAGTCATGAAATGTTGTGTGACCTTAATGGCTGCAGCATACCTGTGGTCATTTACCTGTAATGGTGGTGGTCCTCTCCTAGGTGTCCTCTGTGGGATGATTGCCATCGCAGATGCGGTCAAGCAGGAGGCAGCGCTGGCTGTGCATACACTGAAGAGCATGGGTGTGGATGTGGTTCTCATCACGGGGGACAACCGGAAGACAGCCCGAGCCATTGCCACCCAGGTACACGCAGGAGTGGCCCAAGAACGGCTTCCCTTTTAAGATGATGAACTATTGCAAGCTCACAGGAGCAGTTAGAGAGAGAAATATTTCATGCTCACAGTGCACCACCACTCAGCCTTCTTCAGCATTTTTCTCGTCGAATGGCTTTTCTCTCCATTTACTCTGTTCTGCTCTGAGCCACACAGCCATCACACACCACAGTGTTGCTGCTGGCAAAGATGCCTTGGGCCTGGGTGCCGTGATTAATGCCTGGCCTGCACACATCTCTGCGAAAAGCAATTCCAGCTTTCTCTAACTATTTCCTAGTTTTTAGATGAAAAAAGAGATTAGGATTTGAGGGTTAAAATAAAAAGCTTTCTCACCTTTATGGTAAAGAGGTGTTTTGCAAGTTTCTCTCTTCTTCCATGTGTGTAGCAGGTAAGTGACTCAATCTTGGGCCATTCTCCAGGGCCCTTGCTTTTGAATTTAGGCCATGAGGACAGCTCTGCTGCTTGGCTATCTGATTTCTGTACAGTTGTGTCTGCAGTGTAAGTTCCTGAAAATTGTACCCATCCCCAAAAAACCATGTGTGCAAAACTGTGTGTTTTGAAAAGTAATTGCTTCTTATGAGGGAAACAGTAGTACCTCTGTTTTACATGGCCTTTCCTAGTGATGGACTTGTTAGGTAGCTCCCTTCCTGGTTAAAATATCCAACAAGGCAGACTAGCACTGCCTGACACCAGGGATTTAGAGGGGAGTGAGGAGTGAACCAGCTGTCAGGGAGCTTGCCATCAATGGGGAGGTGGCTGGGTGTAAAACTTAGGCTTAGTGCTTCAACAGACATGTGCACTGACTCTGTGGGCACCCCCAAGATCATTCCCCCAATCCCCTTTCCTGGCTGGCAGGGCCAGTGAAGGCTTCCCAGAGCAGGGGTGCTTGAGTCAGGAGACAGTTGGATGTAGAAGGGAAGGGACAGGGAAAAGAGAAGTGAGCTTCCTGCAGACAGGGCGGGCAGTATGAACAGCAAGGGAGGTATAAAGTAACACCACAAGTTGAGAGGGGCAGGGAGTGGAATGGATACAGTTGAGTGTGGAGGCAGCCAGAGCCATAAAGCCTGCAGCCAGAGACAGCCAGAGACCAGGTCAAGAGGGACTCGAGAGGCAGACTGAGGATTTAGAAATCTGTTGCAGGATTTCTTTGTTTTTGTTTTTTCATAAAATAGATCTAACATAAAATTTGGCATTTTAATCATTTTTAAGTATACAATTCAATGACAATTACCATGTTATGCGACCACCACTATCCATTTCCAAAACCCTATTGAAAGATATTGAACAGAAGAGTAACAGAACCAAGTGATTCGTTTTGGGAAGACTGCTTGGACAGCAGTGTGGAGAACAGGATTAGGAAGCAGATTTGAACTGTGAGGCCAGTAAGGAGGCTGGTTTGCTAACCCCAGAAAGGAGGGGCCTAAGCACGCAGTAAGTAGCATTGTGATGGGAGGCAAGGAATAAACTTGGGACTGCGAATCTGTCAGACATACTGACTGGACTTGGAGGAGAGTAGGTTGGAGTCAGGTGACACAAAGATTTCTGCCTCTGTTCACTGTTCTCTGCCAACATGAAGTGCGATGTGTTTATTATCTGACTACTATTTCCTTTCCTGTTAGGTTGGCATCAACAAAGTCTTTGCTGAGGTGCTGCCTTCCCACAAAGTGGCCAAGGTCCAGGAGCTCCAGAACAAAGGGAAGAAAGTCGCCATGGTGGGAGATGGGGTCAACGACTCCCCAGCCTTGGCCCGGGCAGATGTGGGCATTGCCATTGGGACAGGCACAGATGTAGCCATCGAGGCAGCCGACGTCGTCCTCATCAGAGTGAGCATGGCTGCCTTTCCTTCTTGCTGTCTGAGTTATGGGAGTGGCAAGGACAGGGGACAGAGGGACAGACTCCTCACTCAGTGTGTTCCTCTCCTGCAGAATGACTTACTTGATGTGGTGGCTAGCATTCGTCTTTCTAAGAGGACTGTCCGGAGAATACGAATCAACCTGGTCCTGGCCTTGATTTATAACCTGGTTGGGATACCCATTGCAGCAGGTAGGGGCAGCTCTTACCTGGAGTGTTACCTTGGACCCCAGCTGTGGGCTTCTCTGCAGGGTTCCTGCTGAGTGTCTTAAGTAGCCCACCTCAATGACTGGAAATTTCTTAGAAAGAGGTGAGGTTTTTTGTCTTAACCTCTGCTTTATACATCTCTAAAGGCAAATGATAAATTATTGAGAGGATCCAGACCTACAAGTAAGAAAATTCCAGAGCAGAAGAGTTTCAGTTTATATAGACTTGTGCTAATTTTTTCATAATGGCCTCTAACCCATAAAAACGTCATTGGAGAGGGGGACTTTTTTTTTTTTCTGTATGTAGAAGACAAAATAAGATTAGCAACAGTTGTCTTCAGCCTGGCTGCTCTTCCTTCATGGCCCATCCTCACTGTCCCCTCTGGTCCTCTCCAGAAAGCTGGCCAAGATACTTGATTGTTCATTTCCTTGTGGCTATATCTTTGGAACCATTCATTAAGACGTAGAATCTGAAAAAATCATCATTCCTGGGTACCTGCTACATGCTAGGCACAGTGATTGGCTTTCAGAAGCCCGGCCTCAAACAGGAATTCTGCCCAGGCCTTCCCCACCCCCTGAATCTTATGGACACAGGGAGGAAAAGCCCCAGCACTTCTGCAGGAAATGCTCTCACATGGGCTAAAGAGGCCTGAGGTGTTTAGACCTGACCTTCCATCTCAGTCCCCTGACCAGTGATTAAAAGAGCTCTGGTGGCGTAGTGAGTAAGACATTTGGCTGCTAACCGAAAGGTTGGTGGTTCAAAACCCAGCAACTGCTCTGTGGGAACATGAGGCAATCTACTTCCATAAAGGTTTATAGCCTTGGAAACTCAATGAGGGGTCACTATGAATTGGAATTTACTTGATGGCAATGGGTTTTTTCAAGTCACAGTGATTAGTGTGTTGCCTCCATTCTCGGCCCTGGAGTAAGGCAGGTTTACTTCCTGCCTAGAACCTTGTTGTTGTTGTTGTTGTTGTTGTTATATGCCGTCGAGTCGGCCCCGACTCATAGCGACCCCTCCTTGGGTTTCCGAGGCAGTATCACTACAGAAGTAGGATTGCCCAACCTTTGCCTTCTAATTCTGTCGAATGTTTGCAGCTCTGCCACAGATATTTGACCATATCTGGACTCTCATTTCTCTTTAAACAAGGTATTATGAGGACTTGAGGTCAGAGAATCTTTAAATTAGGAACTGTGATCATCAGCAGCGTGTTAAGGACAGGAGCTGCCTGTACTTTCTCCTACTCCCCCGCCACTGCTCCCCCAGCTCACCCATGCTCTGCAGCCAAAGCTCTGCTTCATGTTGTACCTCCCTGTGGCTTTCCTGAAATGGATAATGCCACCTGTGGAGGATTTCAGGAAGGTCAGGCAGGTGGAAACCCTGAAGAGACTCAAAATCTACTCCACAGGGCCCACCTCCCAGCCCCCACTGCCTAGCTTTGCAAGGCAGCCTCCCCCTCCAACCTAGGGCTTATGAACTCATAGTCATGGTGGCTGATACTCTCTGAGTCACTGAGATACTTCACGTGCTCCCGTGGGCAGCTGAGGGCTGGATCCACGCCTCCTCGCTGCCGACCTTCTCCTTGCTCCCCACTGTGGGCTGCAGTGTGAAGGTATGTCCTTCCTCGGCCAGGTGTCTTCATGCCCATTGGCCTGGTGCTGCAGCCGTGGATGGGATCAGCAGCTATGGCAGCCTCCTCCGTATCTGTGGTGCTCTCATCCCTGCAGCTGAAATGGTGAGTTCCCAGGGGCAGAAGCATGTTTGTTAGAGATGTTGATGCAGACATTTATGGGAGAATGAATCCCCAGGAAACCTTTCTCCTCTGCATTCACCAGCAGGTTTGGGCTTGCTGGGGTGGTTTCTGGGGTTAGGATAGGTGTCTGTAGTGCTGATGGCCCGGTCTACTCACCTGAGGCAAAGACGGAAGTGACAGCCTCCATACAGGGCCAAGTATGTTTTTATAATGATGTATAAACACCCTGAGCAAATATATTACCTCCTAACAGTCATCCCAGTTGGGCTGCTCTAGTGACTCTGCTCAGAGCTGTTTATGTAAATACCCAATAGGCATGAGATCCTGATATATTATCATTTTTCTTTTTTAAAAAAGACAAGCATATATTTATTTACCTATTTATTCATGCATTCATTGAACAAAAATTCTATGTGTAAGGTATTGGGGTAGGAATTTCCTATATCAGGTGAATTTAATTTGAACTGTAGGAGTTTAATATCCTTTTCCTTTAAAAACTAATGCGGTTTTGAGAGTGCATGTTATTGAAAGACTTGGGTGAGAGGCCTTTACCAGGCTGAGGACAACAAACAAAAGAGCCTGTATCTGAAATCCTCAGGTGCTATTGCATTCTTGCTTTGCAGCTATAGGAAGCCAGACCTGGAGCGGTATGAGGTGCAGGCCCAGGGCTGCATGAGGCCCCTGACCCCGTCCCAGGTCAGCGTGCACATCGGTATGGATGACCGGCGGTGGGACTCCCCCCGGGCCATGCTGTGGGACCAGGTCAGCTACATCAGCCAGGTGTCTCTGTCCTCGCTGACCTCAGACAGGCTGTCCCGGCACAGTGCCTTGGCTGCCGACACTGGGGATAAGTGGTCTCTGCTTCTGAACGACAGGGACGAGGAGCAATATATCTGAAAGCTCCAGGCAGGCACAGATGCAGGCTGGATCGCACCTCCCGGGAGCAGCAGGGCTGCTCACACAGGGCTTTTGGGGAACTAGTCCATTCACTTCTGCTAGCCTAACAACAGTGCTGCACCAGCAGCCAGCATCAGGGTGGCGGAGCCAGGGGACCCTCAGCCCTCCCTGGTCACTGCTACCTGCAGCCCGTGGCCTTTCTAGGTGTGGCCAGCATCAGCCTGAAAAGGACTGACCTTCTTGGACCCTTCTGGAGCAGGGGCAAGCGGGCCCTGGCCTCAGTGACAGTGACATTGGCACAGACTTGTCTGAAACCTGGCTTGGACTTTAGGAGAGAAGAAAGTCAGCCTCCTCACAGATCTCTGCTGTTAATATTTGGATGGCTACTTGTGGAAGGAGGAAAACCTCATCAGGACCAAAAACTGAGCTGGGCGTTTCTATAGAACTCATGAAAAACTATTAAGCTCTTTTGGTGATGCCCACATGCGTTGTATGTCTGAAACCACAGTTTACCTCAAGTACAACTTTTGTTTTCTACTAGCACAGTCTCTTCCTTCTCTCCCCTCTATGTGCTTGGAGTCTGACCCACCCCTGTCATCCTTGGGGGCAGGACTAATGTCCTCATAGTCCCTGCTGCTTTTTCAGGCATTTCTCTAAATGCACTCAGCTTGTGCACTTCCTGCCCAAGTCTGACCTCACCCACAGAGAGGTGCTGCAGAGAGCTTGTGCCAGAGAGCTTCCTGCAGTTCTCTTCAAATTAAGGAGATTCTTTTTCCTTAAGCCCCTATTCTTTAAAGAGTCACAGCTTCTCATCCCAGAGACCAGAGTGCTGGTACTGACCATTGGAGCAAGGGTCTCAGAGTCCAGATCTTCTGGTGGGGCTAGGTGCTGTGTCCTTCATAGCGCTCAAAGCCGATGCCCTGTGGGGGAGGAGGGTACAAGCAGGGAATGTGGCCTGTGTTGCAGTCTATGTAGATGTCACCCACAAAGCCTACTAGACAGTACTTAACCAGTTGTGCCCTGGCATCGGTATATCAGAGGAAACAGTGATGCCCGATAAGTAAGTCATAGGTCCCCTCCGTTAGCCTTCCGCTCCACATGTGCCTTAGGAAAGGGGTGGCCACAAAGGGAAAGTGTATTTTTTCCAGGGCTTCAAAGTGGTTCAGACCAGTTCAGTGATGGCTGACACAGTAAAATTGGAAGAGACCTGAATTTGTAAAATGTGGGTATACTAGAACAATAACCAAAATGGGAAAAATTACGGGTGAGAGCATTGGAATGGGAGGCTCAGAAGAGGCATTGCAAGACCTTTCAGGAACCTGATGTAGGAGATTGGATTATTGCCAGGACTGCAGGGCACCACACATTCAAAGCTGTTTGGTTGGCTGCCGTCTTTCAGTGAGACAGCTTTCTACCTCTGCTAGACAAGATGTTGCTATGCAATGTGCATGCTGTTCTTGTTTTCTGAGACAGAGATTAAGTTTCTAGCAGGGTGTCGAACCATAATTTTCCTGTTCTACTTATCATTCCGGTCCAGCCACGTTTTACAAATTTAGTTCCATTCCAGTGTCACTTCATCAGCCCTGGTTTGTTCATTCTCAGTGGCTCCTTGTCATTGCATGACATCAGAGGGGTAGAATGGATTCTTAAGTCAATTGGTAACTGACAAAACCACATGGAAGTAGACTAGTGGGATTTGAGGTTAAATTCTAAGATAAAGGCCTTGTCACACATGAAAAATAAAGTTATTTCTTAAGTGCCAGTTATTTTACAGGTGAATGTAAGCACTTTTTATAAGTTACCTCTAATCCTCAAGACAAAATAGCAAGTAGATGTCATTCTCCCCATTTTTCAAGCGAGGAAACTAAGTCTCAGGGAGGGTAACTGTCTTGCCAGGATCACACAGCCATTACAAGTACTGGAACACAGAGCTGAATCCATGTGTGTTGACTCCAAAACCTTTTGTCTGTTTCTCCTGACACCTTGAAACTCCATTTGCTTGGTAAGAATAAGAAAGAGATGTTACCCAAAAATACCAGGGTCTGGCGCTGGAGTGGAGCAACCAATAGTTCACACCGCGTTCAGGAAGAAGAGAGTTTTAATCAGAAGGTATACCCACGAGAGACGGACAAGGGTCTAGGTGACTCCAAAAACATCCACTTTGCTCAGTGCTGACAATCACAGGTTCCTATACTAAAGAAAAAAGGGACATAGCATGTATGCAGGATTAGCTAACAATTTTCCAAAAGTTAGATAAGACAATGAGTAATTAAGAAAGGAATGTTTCCTGTGAGGTCCCTGCAGCCAGGTAATCCTTAAGAGGCTCTGTTGGTATTTGTCTAAGTGCAGGTGGTCACTCCCAAAGTCCAGCCCAGGAGCCTTTATTGACACAGATGGCCCTATCTGAGATCACAGAATGCAGCAGGAACTGATAACTGTAACTTAAGAGAGTAAGTTCATTATAACACAAGGTTGAAGTCAGGTTTTAAAGAAATGACATCTTAACTAAAAATACGGAGTCTTATTCTAACAATATGGTGTCAGGCCTAACAAAGCAAAAATCTTTATCCTCACGGAGGTTCTTGCTCCTGGAAGAACAAAACTGGGGTGATTTAGTGTTGTGTTGGCTTTGAGTGACATTTCACATTGACCTTGCATGGTTAGTTTCCATTTTTGCATTTAATGTTTGCAGGGATTTATTCTCTAAAATCCAAGTGCAGAGTTGTTTTATTCTTTTGTTATGTTTTGCTTTTTAATTGTTTATAAGCTCTCTTTCCCTACCACTAAGCTCTCCCAGTTGTGTCTTCTCTGTTCTTTCATGTGCTCGGGGAATGTCTCTTGTTTTCTAACTAGAGTAATTATTGTCTAAATAATGTAATTGTTTTGATTTTTTGAAAAAGCTTTTAGTACCATAAACATCATGTTTATATGGATATGAAGATATTTATATAATTGTAAAGAAAACAACCATTTAAATGTTCAAAGTGTAAGAAGGTTTTTTTTTTTTTTTTGGTGGCAGGATAAGAACATTTCCTATTTCAAATATTTTCATGCAATATTTTGAATAAAGTTTCATTTTCTTCATCTAAAAATCTGCCTTTGGTTGTTCTGTGAGGTCTTGTCTTTGCTCAGCTGCTTTCAGGGAGCAGAAAGGACAGAATTTTAACCGTGGAGGATGTGAGGGTGGCCAGAGCCATCCAGACCTGCCACCCCGACCAGCTGACCCTGCTGTGTTGCACCCTGCTCCTGGATGCTGGGCCTTGTCAGTGGTGATCTGGGCCAAGTCCAGAGGCAACTCCTGTTCAAACGTTTTGCTCCATGAGGCTACACAAATGTCTAACTTAGCCATTAGATGCACTTCTCCGGTTTAGAGGCCATTGCTTACAAAAGGAAGGCTATTCTCAAATGGACATATTTCAGTCAGAGGGCTGTTTTGGGTTCCTTGACCCTGAGGGGAGGTTCCTGGATAGTACAGTTTGTGCTGGACTAGTCACTTAAACATTGGCTTTTGGACCCCAAAAGCACCATAGAAGAAAGTTCCGGACATCTGCTTCTGTAAAGATTATGGCCCAGAAAACCCTATGGAGCCTAGTTCTGCTCCAACACATGGAGTTGCCATGAGTCAAAATCATTCCTACCAACCTCCACAATACATTCCAACACCAAGTCAGCTTTCCCACACATCAGGGGAATCTGGAAAGGGAAACTAAGAATCAGCAGGAGTGGTTGCTTAAAGCATTTCTTTGTATGTACACTCCTTGATTTTTTTTCAATAAGAGATGCCATTAAGAAAAAGTTGCTTGCAAATAAAACTTCTAACTCCTGGAGAAATGAGAAGGAGCTCTGGTGGTGCAGTTGTTAAAGCATTCAGCTGCTTAACAAATGGTGGTTCAAACCTACCAGCCACCCATGGGAAAAAGATGTGGCAGTCTGCTTCCATAAAGATTTACAGCCTTAGAAACTCTATAGGGCAGTTTTACTCGGCCCTACAGTGTCACTAGGAGTTGGAATCAAGTTATGGCAGTGGGTTGGAGGGTTAGGGGATGGTGATAGGAAAGTTTGGATCAAGCGTTCTGTCAGGGAAGCTCTGTGGGCATCTTGGGGTGCTGGGCAGGCCCTAAAGTGAGTTGAACCTGAAGGTGAGGTGACTGATTCCATCACCCAGTCTAGGACACTTTTTTTTTGTAATTTGGGTGAAAATTTACAGAGCAAATTCACTTTCTGTACAACAGTTCACATACACTTTGTCTCATGACATTGACTACAATTTACCCCAATGTAACAGCTCCCCTCCAACTTCCTCCTGATAGTTACCTCTTCCCTGCGTCCATCCCTTCTTGCACTCCTGCCCCCTGAGCTGTCTCCCTGTGCATAAACAGCCCTTCTTTCTCCCAAGATTGATCTCTTCAAGGAGTGCACCTACCTCAGGTACACTCATATTCAACTCATATGCCTGTCTTTTGTTTGGCTGGAAGCCACAGGTGTGGGTTCAATTCCAGACCTGAAGGGCAGCTAGGGGCCATAGTCTCAGTGGTTCCACCAGGCTCTATCAGACCAGCAAACCTGCTCCCCCCCACCTTTTTCCTCCAAATGATTTTTAGTTCCACATTGTTCTCCCTCTCTATCCAGGATCTCCTACATAGATCCCCTTCCAAGTGGATGACAGTGGTAGCCGGGCACCATCTAGTTCTTCTGGTCTCATAGTTATATAGGCTGCGGATCTCATAGTGTACCACTCGCTAGGACTAATTGTTCCCATGAATCTTTGGTTATCTTCATTCTTTGCTCTGGACGAGGAGAGACCCATCATTGCATCTAAATGGCTGCTAGCAAGCTTTTAAGATCCCAGTCGCTACTCGCCAAAGTAGGAGGTGGAACAATGTTTTGTGTAGTATGTTATGCCAATTGAGCTTGATGTCCCCTGCGACTATGGTCCCAAGCCCAGCAGTTCAACTACTCAGTCACTCTGGGTAGCTGGCTGTGACCAAGAAGTGACTACA